TCCCCTATTTTCTAATAATGTTCCCAAAAAATGATAACAAAAATATAACTAAGAGGCGCGATACCGAGTGATTTTGGAAAACAATTAATAAATCAAGAATTATTAAACATCAAAATATATATTAAAAAAATACGCTATTTTAAAACCTCTTCTTAAAAAATATAATGATTGTCTCATTGTCACTATTAAATAAATCTTTCTTCTTTCTTCAGATTTAGATAACTTATTTAATGTAGAAGTTAAATAAATAAAAGAAAACTTTTTCTAAATTAAATTATTTACCTGTAAAACTTTAACCACATAATTTTTAGATACATTAAATTAATAGAAAAAGGCATGTTAAGGACATTATAATTATTAATATAGATTTCAGACGCCACTATACAAAGAACTTTAACACTATTACAACCAAATATTTGTTTAGTAATTACATATTGGCTTTTTTTATTTTAATTTGTTTATCATTTCATTTTTCTTTAATTAATAGAAAGTGTTCAAAATGTCAAGGAACAGATTTCACAGAGTTGGTAAATTAGATTTCACGAGTGATTTATCAGCACCACCTATCGTTTGTAATAATATTACATGGTTCGAGAGAAAGATCCAAATTATATGGGTATAAAATGCTCAAATAAATTATTAACAAATAAATAATATAGAAATCAAGAAATGCATAGCGACTGTACAGTACACCTCGAAAAAAATGGTTAAAACAATATATTAAAATCTTTTTTGCTAAACCAAAACTACGGGTCTGTGAAAGAATTTTTTAAATATGAAAACATAAAATAATGCTCGATTGTTGACTGTTTTTCAACATTGTATGTATAAAATCTGTGACTGAGTAATATTTTCTGTGTGATATTTAATATACTACGTTTTCCTTGTTGCGGATCTCACAGTATCCCATCCCATACTATTTTGTATACGTTACCTCAGGTTTTAAAAACTGATATTTGAACTTTTTAAAGCCTACCGTTGCAATTACTGTGAATTTAATTTAAGCGTATTTAATGATATTTTTTATTGCGAATTTAAAAAAATAAAAGAAAACTTTTTCTATATTAAATTATTTATTATCATTAAATTCATAGGAAAATGCATGCTAAGGACATTATAATTATTAACATAGGTTTTAGACGCGACTATACAAGTAACGTTAATACCACTACTATTAAATTGGCTTTTTTTTTAATTTAATTTGTTTATCATTTAAATTTTCTTTAATTAATAGAAAGTATTCAAAATTTCAAGGAACGGAGTTATGATTTTACAAATATTTCACGGATTTCACAGACAACACAGATTTCATAGATTTTATATTCCATTTATATAACATTAGGAAAAAAATAAGCACCACCTACCGTTTGTAATATTACATGTTTCGAGAGCATTATCAAAATTATATGAGTATACGGTGCCTAAATAAATTATTAATAAATCAAGAAATATATAGTGCCTGTGCGGCGAACCTCGAATAAAATGTTTTTTGCTAAACAAAAACTACGTCTTAATATGTTCTTCAACTTTATATGTATAAAACTATGGGCCTGTGTAACATTTTGTGTGTATAGTATAGTATCTCATCCCAGTATTTTGTATACGTTATCGCAGGACGTAAAAACTGAAATACGTAATTTTTAAAACCTATCATGGCAATTACAGTGAATTTTACGATATAACCTTCAAGTTTACCCTGTTTAAAGATCCCTTTTATTGCGAATTTATATATCATTACTCTCTCGCATTGCGAAATATAGTGTACCTACCATTTTTTAACGTCGAACGGAGGGATACAAGGATCCGAGGCAAGGCCGTAACGTGTCCCGTCAATGGAAACTGGAAACTCGAATCCGCCGTTCACGAGACCGTAATAATAAACTGACATTTTCCGAAATGCCGGCAGGGGTTTTTATTCGAAAAACGCAAAATGGGACGATGCCAACGCGCGAAACGTCCAACGACCCGTTAAAAACTGGACTTTTGGACCGAAGAATTGACAAATCGAACAAGAAACAATGTCCGGGCCTTAACGACTGACCCAATATAACTAGAAACCGCTTAAAAACTAATTCCAAATACATTTAAATCGTCATCGGTGGCGTAGATAAATCAAATGAAGAGGAATATCAGTGGCGCAGCGGAAAAGTACCCGCTTATTTGGGCAGTAAAGACAGAAAGAATGGACCACGACGGACTTCAAAATTGGAGTATAGTCTGTTCATAGATATAAGAAAGTGACCAATTGCTTTTGAATGGGATTATCCAAGGGTAGTCATTAACATACAATGCAACAGGATTATTACCTAAAGTTTCGGAATTTAAATTCAGATAAAATTATGGTCCGTAATAGAGAATAATTTTATACCTACCTGTGTTTAATATTCTTATATACTTAGTTTAAGTTTATTAGTAATCATTCTTATTTCGTGTGTAATACAGCGTGTGTTGAATCGTGTGCGAATTATGCAAAATATGTGCGAGTCTAGTGTATCTCAGGAGATGCTCCCGCCCAAATGTAGAAAACACTATTCTATTGAGACTAAGAAAGTTATAAACAATGTTTATTTGACTCTCCTTGAGCGTGGTGCCGGCAAGCAAGCATCTTTAGAAGAAACGGGCACATTGACGAAAATTCCAACATCAATGCGCAATTCATATTTAGTTTTAGCTAAGTGCATTTTTGATAGTAGTCTTTGATCTCTGCTGACATGCCTGAATATTGAAAATAATAAACTTCTCTTAATTTGTTTTATTTACTACCATATCATTTAATTCTCATGTCATTTACTTTTTATTTGTTAAAATTTCGTTGAAAAGAAGTTATTTTTTATTAGAATCATAACAATAAAACAACAACAAAATGTTGCGAAATCATGCAAAATCGTGTGGAAATCACTGATTTTCGAAATACTGTCACAATTTTGACCATTTAACCCCAGCGTATATCCTTGGATGATAGTAACAACATAAGTTCTGGCGACTAATTTTATTTAATATGTATTTATTACTTATATAATTACAATTATACAGTGCACAATACAATAAAATGTATTCATACATACATAATTTTATACTCTTTTCAATTTTAATGGCCTATACTTCAAAATAGAAAAAGTTTGGCGCACACCACATAAGCCAAATCCATGAGGTAAAAATCGGCAAAAATATATTATAATAATGGTAGAAATGCAATTGATTGCATTGCACCAATTGAAATGATGAATGCGACCATGGACAGAAACGTCACAGATATCTCGAATTTGTATATACAGGGTGATTTTGGAAATTGTGCAGGTTTAGAATAAATAAACTCGATTATGCTTTAACTTATCGAAAAGTTCTGGAATCCAGTGGCGTAGTCAAATTTCTTCTAAAACTCTTGCTAGATTTATATATTATCCAAACTTGTGTTTTTTTAATGTCTCGTTAAATAATTTTATCAGGCTTCTTAACTTTCCAAAAACATATAACGCGTAACGGTTATCTGAAATACAAAGCATATATTTTTAATTAGATTCGATTAGATTTTTTCCGTTTTTTTTAAGTGTATTTAAAAAAATTCAGTTACTTGTCAAAATAAACTTCTGTGTATGTGTGTTATATTAAATGCGCATTGATAATAAAACCATATTATATTCAATTTCTGATAGTCATATTTTGAGCGAATAGTAACCATATTAAAAAACACAAGTTTAGTTGGTGTATAAAAATTTGCGAGTCACAGAAGAAAACTGACCACGTCCTGAATCCTATGTAAAATAAATTGGGCACACTGTACACCCAAATACTTTCTGATATATGAAGATGATTATTGGAATGAATTATACATGAACCGAGAAAGTTACGTGCACTTTTGAAAATTTTATTTTGATTTCTTTTTCCAAAAAGGGAGGGGGGCGAGGGGTAAATCGCGTGAAATCTGGTGTACCAGCTCAAATTAATTTCCTTCTAATTGTAATTTTCTTCATAGAAAATTAAGAATAACCGAAATTCTTAACTAAATGTCTTTAAAATGCCCGTTTTTTCCAAGAAAATAAAATTGAAAAAAAGAAAAAAATTAATTACAAAAATTTTCCACATAAACGGAAAATTATTTTCTAAAATCGGTGAAATCTAAAAAAAAAATAGAAATCTGTGAAATCTTATAGAATCCTTAAAATTTGAATCCGGTGAAAGCTTGCGTGAAATCTGTGAAATCATATGACTGAGTGAGATCGGGTGTACCAGTTTTGGATGGTGATCATGGAAAACACAAAAAAATCCTTCGATTTGTGTGAACCACACAAGATTATTTCAAACTAAGCAAAAATAGATAATAATATTCATTGGAAGTTGTCAATAAACCACAACTATTTAACTATCGAACCAGCCTAACTAAATATTTCGCAAAACTTGTTTTCCACAGTCCAGCGCACGTAAGTTCTAAACCACGAATTTTCATGTTTTGCTGGAATTAACCAAAACTCTATACGAGCTATGTATACTCCAAACTGAGCTAGAAATTACATAAAAAATCATAAAAATGATTTATTAATTGTAGAACACAAACCGAATTTTGTGGAGAATACTAAAAAATAAGTATCTGGTATTCTATGGTAATCTTACGTACGACTTACGTCAATTTTGAAGGGCACAACAAACCCCATCTAAGCTTAACAATACCCAAAAAAGGTTCAAAAGTAATTAAGTGATTTCCTTTAATTCAATATTAATTACTTAACAATATTTGCCGAATTATTGGGCGTAAGGAAAGCGAAGCTCTCCCATGCCCGCAAGCTGTACGATACCAAAGGGAAAGTAGGTTATAAACAGCTCCGCCAGCAAAATATTTCAAAATAAAAACAATTCCCGAAAGCTGTCTTAATTTTGACAGATATTCTCAAATTAAAAGCAAGAACGTGGAATTCTTTATGAGGACGAAACGATTAGGGAAATATATGTTGGAAAAGCTCCTAGAAGTCAACAATGTTTTAACGCAAAGCTAAATATACACTAACCTGCGCTTCTCCTTTGGGGCCTTCGGTTTAGTATCCATCATAAAACGTATACTTCTTAGACACTGCCAAGGAAGTAAAAATTCGATCACATCAAACAAACAAATTCACTCACGAGGAGACATTCACCATTAGAATAATATTAATTTTGACTCTTGACTGACATTTACGACTTCAACGAGAAGATCATTGAATACTGAATGTCCGTACACACCGCTGAAATTCGAAATTCTCGCAGACCACTTGCAACCAATAGCGAGCGTTCTGTTAAAGAGCTGACTCGGGAGAAAAGTTCGAAGTGACGTAGGGTGGACGCCGTGTGCACCGGACTTTAGAATCACAGAACAGTGAGGTTAGTCTCGATTAATCTCGATTTTATTACGAGGTTGAAGATAGTAGGAATTACCACCCATTTGTAATGATGTCATGCTGATTTCCAAAAACGCATGTTTGTAGCAACATTTTTACCATACGTTGGTGTCCAAAATTATTATGTTATGAGAATATTAAGAACATTTCCTCAGTAAAGTATAATTTCATTTTTGAAGGTATTTTGCTGTTAATAACTTTCAACAAGTTGACAAATCAATATTTTTGACCTACAGTGACGGATGAATAACCTTAAATAAATAGTAAATGAATATATTATGTTTTTGACTACATTACAATGAATAAGTAAAAGTTTGGAAGAAATAATTTTAAAGTTATTGTAAATAAACAAAAAATAATCGTAGAAGCAGAAGATATTTTGCTTGTACTCGATAAAAGTTATACAGTCGATATGTTTCCGCACATTCGCGAGAAAGGTCACAATCAGTAAAAATTAAATAAACATTAAAAAAAATTAGATGTGGATGTTTAAAGATGAATAAATATAGTATGAATCCATTCCATGAATATTTTTTTTGTTTTAAGCTCTTTGGCAGGGCGTTATGAGCTCTCGGAGCAAAGTTTTGAAAATATCTTTTTCTAATTGATTTTATTCCTTATAATTATATATATTAATATAAACGAACGAAAAAATTCCGACTACCGTTTTTCTTTTTTATTCTATGCTCTTGCGTCTAGTCGTCTGACGTCATCTGACTGTAGGAATGTGTTTTTTCGTTATGATCCGCAAAGATTTATTTAAGTTTTCTGAACTGTATCATACCAGCCAATATAATATAGTTATCTATGAACTGTATTGTCGAAAAGAGCTCCTTTACACTGTTGTTTTAAGACTTGATAAATACAATAGGTGTAAATAATTCGTCAAGTTTATTGCAGTGTACTTTGTTGGTATTTAATAATAATATATTGAATAAGTTAAATGTTAAATTCACGATGTGACATCAGTAAGTATATTCTGCCCTGCCATGGAAATAGCATATTACAAAGGGATTAGTGCCAATAAAGTACCAATAAAACGTAATAATTTTGTGCGCTATTTATTGGACATATACTTTCGGAATCTTTATTAGAAGCAAGAGAGACTATTTTCAAAATTAAATTAAGCTATTTTTATTGAAATTTTGAACTTTTATGTAACAATATTGGTAACATTAAATAAATGCTCAGAATATCTTCATATATCTTAAGTCCAAACTGCAAAAGATAAGTTTATTGATACAGTCACAAAACTGGTCAGCACACTTTTTTCCGCAACACCTGTGGATCGTGAATTTAACGTTTGTTAATTTCATACTTTCCAGCATGGATTTGAATCGAACTTGAAATCTCAGGGGCGGTACGATTCTGGCCATAGTAATCCACAAAATCCCCGTCTGGATTTAACAAATACATAATTATGCTGTGGTCTACGATGTAATCACTATCTTTATCCTTTGGCCCGGCACTAAAGTATACCCTGAAGACCTTACATACATTAGCGATTTGCTCTTCGGTACCCGTCAAGCCTAGGAGGTTTGAATTAAACTCTTTGCAATATTTCCCAACAATTTCTGGCGTATCACGGTGGGGATCTACAGATATAAATAATGGCTGGATATCAGGTCCATCCTCTATAGCCTTCAAGTCGTTTATTACCGCAGACATTTTTTCTAATTCATCCGGACAGATATCGGGGCAGTGTGTAAAGCCGAAATAAATGAGCAACCATTTGCCGAGAAAATCGTCCTTCTTCCTTAGTTTACCGCTGGAATCGACAAGCTCAAACGGACCTCCAATTGCAGCTTTGCCCAACATTCTAGTCCTTTCCCTTTGTGCCGCAGCTTCTTTTTCCCTTTTTAAATAAAACATAAATCCGAGGAGACCGCCTCCGAGTACCGAAGCAATAGCTAAACTGCGCCATGTTACCGGCCCTACACCTTTACCCAAACTTGGTTTTTTGGACCGATTAACGGATTCGTTTGAGTAGTTCCTGTAAAAATTTGGAAACCTAGTTTTCGTAACATAAAACGTCCTCGCTCGAGCCACCGACACTATAGTAAACGTTTTAAACATAATTTTCAAATTATTATTATTTTTATATTAAGTTTGGTTAACAACAGACATCTGGATGTATTTACCGGTGAGTTTTGACCATAGAATCAGACAAATAATTTTGTGGTCTGTGACAGAAATTTTCTTATTCTTTACTTTTAAGGATATTGTGTGAAAATTCCAAGGAATACTCGCCCTTAAGCACAGACGAATAGAGACTACACAAAATTGAAATAAAGGAAACTGTGCATGGACCGAGAAATTGTTCAATAATTCTCCTAGTTCATTACAGTTTGTATGTAGTATCATCACGATTTGATGACAGGCTTTAACGATTGTTTTTCTTTTATCTTATTTAATAATTGTACTCCCAAATAAAGATTCGTAAGATAAATGAGACAGAATTATACTATCTTCATACATATCAGTTATGAGACTTTGACAATCTTACGTGACAATAAGAATAATAAGAAACAAATCGTTTCCCAAGCATTCCCAAGCAAAAACAATGGTATCAAATTAGATAAACTATTTTGAAAATGAAAGAGAAAGTGGAAAATTGCCAACGAATATTCAGAACATGCTAGTGAAAATAAAAGAGCTAGGAATTTGATTAATAAAGATTAAAAAGTACTGTAGCTCATCCAGATCTGAAAGAAACTCTAAAAACTTTGTGATTTGGATATTAGACACATTTACTTTTATGAATTCAATTTTCCAATAGGTACAATTCAATTGCGAGTCTGTAAAATGTGTCAAGAAGAAAAGGAATTGTTGTTGGAAAAAGATTCATTATCTTGCAACTGTTTATTATTGTTACTAATAACACAAAATTTTGGTACTTTCTGTGTTTTCTGATTTGACTTACATAATTAGTGATCTTCAGGGTCCCATAGTTACACTGGGTGTCTATGTTCGGTACGTCAATCTTCTAGATTTTTATTTGATTTTCTTTAATCATTGACTCTCACTTTAACGTATTTGCCCGATGTGGCATAATGCAGAAAAACGAGGAAATTTCAGATTAATTAAATGTTCTGAATATGACTGAGTGATTTTGGTAAACTTGACCAAGAGAAACAAAGAAGAATCTTTGAATGCGAATTCTGAAATTGTTAATTTTTAGCAGATCTTATGAGAGGTGTCAATTTTCAATTTAAGAGATCTTAATTATCATTTTTAAAAGTATAAAATAATTAAGCTATTACCATGGAGAAGGTGGAAGACATGACCCATGCATATACCCTATCGGAACCCTATATGGTCTCAGTGGAGGAAACTGAAGATGAAGGGGAACACTTAACGGCGGAAAATACGGACGATTCAAATCACGACGGAGACAAAATGGGGGCGCCGTTAAGAGAACAAGACCGTTTTCTTCCCATAGCTAATGTAGCCAAGATAATGAAGAAAGCTATACCCGAAAATGGGAAAGTAAACAGCAAAATCGCAAAGGACGCCAGAGAGTGCGTTCAGGAATGCGTGTCCGAATTTATCAGTTTCATTACCAGCGAGGCGAGCGATAGGTGTCACATGGAAAAGCGAAAAACCATCAATGGAGAAGATATTTTATTTGCCATGAGTACACTCGGGTTTGATAATTACGTGGAGCCTTTAAAATTGTACCTGCAGAAATATAGAGAAGCTGTCAAGAGTGATAAAAATCTGAGCCAAGGGGAATTAATTTACGAGGATATACCGGAAGAGTCTTTTAACGCGTCAGTCGGAAATGGTATTATTACTACCACCACAGAAAATGGCGAACCAAGTACTGTAATATATGCGTTCCAAGACAGCAATCCCATACATCAGTTTCAACTTAGTTAAAAAAAAAAACAAAATTTTAATGGGATAGAATCTTGTTACTTCCCTGGAGTCTAAAAGTACTGAAGAGAGGAGGTGAAGTGAAAATTCAGTAGAAATATCATTCCAGAATAATAATTCTTAAATTATTATAAAGTCGTTTATTTGGGTGTAAAAATCGTGTTGCTATATAATGAGTGAAAAATTTCCTTATCCTTTTGCTGCCCATTTTTAGTTGTGTCTAATGGACCGCCACAAAAAAATTGCTTATTTTTTTAATGAAAAATGTATCCATAAAATCATTCAGAATGGCGAAAAAAATATATCTTGTAAATTTGAGCCCTTCATAATTAATGGGAACAGATCTATGGTTTGCCAAACCATTGAGCTAAAAATATTTACGTGGTTAAATTTTTGTAGGAAATTGAATTTGCTATAAAAAAAACTCCAATTGAAAATTGCGGTTTCCGAGAAATTATAGTTTTAGTAAATATTTTCTTTCAATTATCCTGAAACATAAATAAGTTTTTCCAATTTAACTTTTTCGTTTTTTGGAATTTTTTTACTAACAAACAACTCAACATATGGAAAAGAAGAATACTGATTTTTAAAGGGACTTTAATGTTCTATAAAAAAGGGGTCTCAATATTTTTTGAAAAACTATTGTAGAAATTTAAATTCTCTATAAAAAAAAACTCGATTGAAATTTTTCATCAGACAATTTCCAAGAAATTAAGCTTTTAACATATTTTTATTTAACTTTTTAATTCTTTGGAATTTTGCAATTTACAACAACTCAATACACGAGAATTGATTTTTAAGTAGAATTTAATGCTCTAGAGAAAAGGTCTCTTCATAGTTTTTTTATAAAGTTATTTTCTGAAAATTATTAGCGATTGAACTTGTGTTTTACTAAATTTGCTATTGAAAATTTGATAATTATTGAGTAAAAAAAAAAATTGAGCGAAAAACAAGAAAAAAAAAAAACAACTTCAATCCTTAATAACTTTTTTAAAAATAATTACTTAGCAACAAAATGTGAACTTTTTTTGAAAATTAATATTTTTTTGTTCATTGAGTTGTTTGCTAGTTACAAAATTTTAAAATGAAAAAGTTTAAAAATATATACTTTTTTAAATTCTGAATGATGTATATAGTACATACATTATACAGTAATTTTTTTGGCGCAATATTTAGTAAGCCAGGAAATTGTGATAATTCTTTAATGAAATATATGTAAATTTTCGTTTCAGAAAATCACCTATGAATGTAATTGTTTCAATGTAGATCGATAATGTCAAAATATAAATTATCGACTCTACTGCAACACATATTTATTTCAAAATCATTCGCTTATCTGATATACACTACTTTTCCAAACTCTTAATATACAATTAAGTGTAAAAGAATTTTCAAATTTTAACTCATTTACTAGGGGAGGGTTCTCTCAAATCTGTGGTTGATGCTTCTGCCTCCGCCTCCGCTTGAGTCATACTACTCATGTCGTCGTCGTCTGTCAAATCCTGGTTGTACAGACTTGGATATTTTTGCATGCATGTCTGCATTATTTTAAATTTTTCAAAACAGTCACTTCCTAAAAGAAATATGGCAATATTTATAACACTCATTCTCACAAATAAAAAAAATAGTTTTGGTTAGGTTTAGTAGTTTTGGATAAGTTTACTTTGACAAATATGACTTGGGTTGCATTCTGTATGCCTAATGAAAATTAGTGAAAAAGTGGGTTAGTTAACTTCGACAAGTACCTGTACCATTACTATTAAAAATTGCAAAATATGCTGTGTGCACAATCAACATTAGTTAAAAAAAATCATATTTACTTTGACAAATATCTGTAAGTTCAAATACCTTTGGGTTCAAAGTACACGAGTTAATGGGCATGAAAAATTGTAATAAAACATGTTATATGCATAATCAAAATTAGTAAACATGCTGTATGCCCAAATAAGTACACAAATATCTGTAAGTTCAAATACCTTTGGGTTCGGCTTTTGAGTAATGAAAACAGCTAAAAGCGTTCCTAAATTCTACACCACACGGGCCTGTAGCCATACCACCTAAACATGGGCAATTCCAATTTATATCCCCATTTGGCAAGATTAATCCTGGTTGAGCATCGGGTGGAGGCAATTTTACTTTGCTGGGAACTAAGTGATCCTCTTTGGTGGCAAATATTACTCTATCTTTTTTGTTAGGCCCCAGTTGACGGCAGTGAGACATTTTTAATGGCTATAGTCCCTCGAGTCCCCTTGTAAAGTTAACAAAAGCGGAGAAGCCTTGTGGATGACGTAGGTCGATCGTCTGTTTTGGTAAGTGCCACAAAGAACCAGACTGCTCCTTAGTTTTATATAGTGCGACTTGGGTACTCGGATATACGCTCTCAGTTTTTCAGGAAAATACTTCAAAATATCTATACTAATGGCGGCTCCCACTTCCCCAAACAATTGCTTCAGGGCTTCGATTAAATTTTGCTTGAAAAATGCGGGTGTTACCTCTTCTTGGTGGTCCCTCAATATCCTAAAAACTAAAATATTAAAAATAAAAAGAGAAAATGAGGCGAGTAGGACTAACAGCGACAAATCTAAATAATAATAACTGCTCATTTCAAATTCACGTAAAATTAACCATCAGAGTACTCCATCCTCACAATTCAGAAATATAGTACTCTAGCTACTTAAAAAATGCACCCAGGAGACACTCACCGGAATTATAGGTTATCGCGCAATCTAACCAACCTAAAATAAAATATAAATTGTCTCTGCTTTGCCATTCTGCGTTCGATGTTTGAAGTGCTCGCGCCGACTTTCGGCCACTAAATTGAACCCAGGAAGGACTCTGGTTAACGCGCATCGTTGTTTTGCACCTCTATGCATAGATGGCGCCATACTTATGCTTAATATAAATTTTAATAGTCAGTTATCGATTTATTTTACAAGTTTGTACAATTACAGCAGCTGAAACTAATTCATTGTCCAATTACATCTCTTCAAATGTTACAAAAAATATGTGTCATTCATTGTACTGCAATCGGCACCACTGCTGAGCAGTCAAAAAACTATTGGATAGATATAAGGTTTCTAAGTCGCACGGAAAAACAACTTCTTCGGGCTTCTCCCTATCAGTTTCACACAGACCGTAAACAAAGTAATTATTTCTTTCCATTAGCGGTCTCTCTATTTTATCGTAAACAATTGTTTCACGGAACCTCGACAGGAGCGTTGTCACAGACAACATATGCTCGCACGTTTTTTCATTTATATACTCTCTCCTTTCATAATTCATTTCATGCAATATAGGCTCGCAGTTGGGGATTTAAGTGCTGACAATCATCCACTTCCGCGAGCGAGCAGAAGGAAATTGTAGTGACGCAACTTAGTCTTTGATCGGATCTAATTCTGATCTATTATAGCTTAACGTTTGAAGACCGGACTCGTCCATTATCAATGTCAGTTTTCATTATACGATTGGCTTTGTTGTCTATTACGGCGCATATCATGGGCGTTGCAGACGGGACGTTCGGAAAGCTATTTCGTTGCTTTTCAAATCGAACAAATCCCGTCCATTTTAATTTTAATTACCTTTTTGTTGTCGAATCGACCCGTGAAAATTATTTCCAAAAAAATTTGCAAAAATGTAGCGCTTTATAGCTTGATGATCCTGACATTGTGGGCACTAGAGGTAAGTAAAACAAAAAAAAACACGTTGTCATGCCGTCTGACCTGCCGGTGAACTTGGCTCTTGATTTTTTTGCAAACGATGCCTCGATGTATCTGCTAAGAACATACGTCGGTGATTACAAATTAATGATTTCCAAGCCAAGTGTACCGGCTGGGTAGGGTATTGTGACAGTATTTGCTATAACCACGCGTTATAAAGTTATTCAATTGCGAGAATAGGACGTGGGTTTCAAATAGGGAAAAGTGTGAATAATACAGTTGCTGTGCCTACAGATAGGACCTTCCATTACATGAAAATGTTGATTGACACGCGGGCAGTATCTGCCAGCATTGTTCGCGTAAATGTAAGAATGTCAACGAAATGCGATTGTAAATTGCCCGCTTTTCCTTTTTGAGACTCGGCGTCGTTAAGGAGGAATGCATGGAAACGCGAAATGAATGCGTACGTCACTCTTATTCAGCGCCATTTTCTTTAGTCTTTCAGTCGGACGCGGCCAATGTAATTTCGTCGAATTAAAGGCTTCGAAGTGTTCGTATTTTAGGCTCGGAATAGCAAGGTTTAGAAACATATTTTCTCTACATTGTTTTTATGCATACATGAAAACTGTGATAAAAAAATTGATGTCATTGCTAGTCGGTTGTCAGTTTTTTAAATTTATATTTTTAATTTTTTTGTTTTTTTATTCATATTGAATATATGTTTTTAATCGAAGATATCATTTAATTTTGAAAATGTGCTTTCTAAGTACAACCAGTTTCTTACTGTTGCCTTTCAATCAAGAGAACGCCAACATCATTGGATGTTCAAATCAATCAATATTTAAAGTAGAATTCTCAGGCAAACAACCTAAAAAATTTTCAACTTATAGTTAATTTGTTTCAACTGAGAACAATATTAAATAAAGATGCTCTACTGCGTATTTATATGGCGTTAGTATAAACGTTAATTAAGTATGATTTACTAATTTGAGGGGGAAATACGGCCAAATATTGGTAAGTGTCGGGAATTTTGGAAATATCAGGAATGAGGAACGCTCAGTACAACCGGAAAGTGGAACCAATTTCGGGAATTTATTTAGAAAATATTAGACCTTCACTTTCTTTTCTCTATTTTACTGGAAAGATTCATACTACAAAAATACTGCACGGGGCTGTTACGCCATTAAGATAACGTTTCTAATTATGATAAATTGGTTAAGGCTTTCGCGGCCCGTTGATAAGCTATTATCTTGATTCGGGTTTAAAGGCCGTCGTCGGTTGGAATTACTTCCTAACGTTTCGCTAGCACGAGTGGCGAGCTTCTTCAGAGGTCCTTCCATCTCCGATGTTGGACGTACATATATTTACATAAAGCGTAGTTCACAATAACTATGTAGAATATTAGTTAGCACTAGTGGATGGTAAGTAGCAGAAAAATTGAAAAGTGATAACAAAACAAACAAGAAAAAATATAAAAGAAACACAACAACAGAAGTCACTTTCTTAAAATTCGGGTAATCCCTTTTTGAGTTTTTACTTATATGTTTCATTAAGTTATAAAACAATATCTCGACCATCTGGTCTTTTTTATTAATCCAAAAAATTCTTTAATTCCTTGAAAAAGTAAGCTAAAATTAAAAATGCAAAAATTTTCGAATCGTCCAAGTACAAGTCAATAATTTATCAGTTTTTTTTCTGGAATTGAAACATGTTCCTAATAATAACCATTATAATAATATTGTTTCTCATCAATAATAACAATAAAAATAATATCTAGTTTATGGGATACAAAAGTTCATACAAAATGAATGAGATGATTAACAAACAATTGAAGAGTGGTAAGGAAACAAACAACCGAAAGAAAAAACATTGCGAAGGTATTATTTATATTATTTTAAAAGATTACTGTTTGTTTTTTTTATAATTTAAGCATAACGTCAAGAGACTTGGTCGCAAGTAAAAAATAATGTTCATTTCCGTCGAAATATCGGAACAAATCATTTTAAAAATTCCGCTTGTCCTTTTTTATCGTCACAAAGGGAGGTATAGCTACCAAATTTCACACTCCGAGGGATTTTTGGTTTTTGTTTAACGCCGACGGCAGATGTCTGCGTCAACCGGACGCTTGGCCAACGTCAAGCATTCGGAACACGTATTTATTCTGACATCATCGTTGTTGTCTCGGTAATTACCGTTTTCAACTATTCGATTTCCAATGCTGCATGGCAATTCGAGCTTGTGGTTCCTTTCTCACGCGTTAATCGGGAAACAGAAAAGGTAAAGGTTTTTGTTTCAGACTCAAAATAGAGAACCTTCGTATGCTTAAATAAGTTTCACACAATTAAATTAGAACAAAAAACAAACAATTTTTTTTTGTGTTTGATAAAGGCACGGTGTTACCGAAACAACTGTCATAAATTATTAATTAATTGTGAAACTCTGAATTTTTTTTGTCCTAATTTAATTGTGTTAAATGGATTTTCATCAAGTAAAAGAAACCTCGGTCCAATTCTTGAAAGAAGCTGAAAATGGTTTCCCGGCTATTCGGTAGTTGGTATAATTACTACGATGCCCAATATATACTCAGTCATGTCAGTATTCCTGAAAAACAAGTTCTAATTTCTGAAAAATAAGACGGGATTTCCGATTTAAATAAGAATTTATGAAATACAATTATGAATTTCTGGGAAATAAGTTTCAATTTCGAATATTTTATTTATTTAGCATGAAAGCTATAAGTACACAGAACAAAAGTATATAACAACAGAACACTTATAAAAAAAAATCAGAATAAAATTTCAGACAATACATAAGTTTTAATTAATCTTTTAAAAGCATGTAAATATTTTTTGGTAGCCTATTAAACTCTAACCTTTATTTAAAATGATATTCAACATATGTGTAGTTTTACATCGATTGACTAGGATGAAATTAGTACGGTTTCTAGTGTTGTAGTCATGAACATTCTTAAAGTAATTAACCCTATTACCGATGTATGGTGGCATCATTTTATTTTTTATCTTAAATATAAATATAAAGGCATCCAACATTACTTTTTGCTTTACAGTTAATATTTGTAACACATTTAACATTGTCATCACAGGCTCTGTTTTGTATTTTCTGAAGTTCCGTTACTCTATAGTTAGGTATACTAAACAATAAGGTTGAACAATATTGCAAATGTGGCGCCGCCCAGCTATTGTAAAGTAACAACTTTGTATAACTTGTTAAATTCCTGCTCTAGATATGAAACCCTCCTTTTGTGAGAACTTGCTCAATGTGCATCAAAATTTAATTGTGGATCTAATACAATTCTCAAATATTTTATATGTTTCTCATACTGCAAATTAACGTCGTTTATATTAATATTAACACTCTCCAGATCCAAACCATTCAATCTATGTTTTTTACTACACAAACAGAACTTCGACTTCATGACATTAATGCTAAGATTATTATTCCACAGCCATACAAACACTCCATAAGAAACAATAATGGTCCCAAAACAGTCCCTTGTGGTATCCCATGATCCACCAAGATAGACTCAGACACAGATGACTCATACTTTACTTTTTGTGTTCTGCCAGATAAGTAAGATTTTAGCCAATCCAGGACTAAGTGCTTTATACCCATATTTTATGGCTTATCTATTAAAATATCCCTATTCACAGTCTCAAAAACTCTTCTAAAGTCCAAAAACACAGCCAAAACAAAACTATCGTCATCGACAGCCCCAACAAATTCATCACAGATACTAACCAACACAGTCTCGCAAGATTGTCCCGTTCGAAATCTCGATCGACTAGAGACAATTAAATTGTTTTCGTCACAATGTCTCTGCAGCTGCTTCTTTGCAACGAGTTCCAATAATTTCTCGTACACTAGCACAGTGTTGATCAGTCTAAAATTAGAATGCATCTCAGTACCTGGAACCTTCGGCACCGGAACCACCAAAGATGAAAAGATGACCTCCATTCCACGCACAATCCTTTTTAAGTGAAGCAATGAAATGTTTTCAAACCTCGCGAACTCCGTGACGCTGTGATTTTCCGTATCCTGGTTTAGAGCTAAACACGTCAAATTGACAGATGGTCTAGCTATTGCCGATATAATATCTTCAACGCTCAGCACAAAATATTTATTAAATTCACTGGTTATATGCTTATCAGTTTTCACCAGTCCCTGTTCAAAAAC